GGAGTCCACATCGCATGGGCCAAAGAAATTTCCTCGGAATGCGAAGCAGCACGGAAAACAGACGGCTGGCGCGGTCCCAGCGGGCAAGGGGAAACGTGCACGCGATGAGGAGCTGAGCGACCAGACAGATGAAGAGGGCGACGTCGACGATATGGACTTGCGCGCGGACGATGTTGTGGAGGACAGTGGCGAGGAAGACGAGAACGAGACGCCGGCTGAGAAACGCCTACGGCTGGCGCAGCTCTATCTCGAGAGCGTCAAAGTCGGTTTAGGTATGTGTTTGCCGTATCCAAGCTTGATCTTCATCGTTGACTTGGGTAACAGCCGATGGAGAATTTGACGCAGCAGAGATCGACAAAGAGCTCATCTCTGCTCGACTAAAACAAGATGTCCTCGAGCACTCGGGCAAAGTCCATCTTTTCATCGCTGACGCTGTACGTCTTTCCTCCTTTCCATTTCAGAAAAATCTTACTCTACACATAGTTCGACTTTTCACATCCCCCATCCACTGTCCTTCATACCCGCGGACACCGCTTCTCTGTTACCAGTGCCGTCGCCTCCGAGTCCGGCGAAACCCTCTTCACCGCCGGCAAAGAAGGGCACATTATCAAATGGAACCTCGCCACCGGCAAAAAAGAACATACCTTCTACAAAACCCGGCCCCAAGCAACAACCTCAAAAGGGAAGGGCAAGTCAAATGCAACGGAGGACGTAAAAGGACACACGGACGAGGTGCTGGGGCTAGCGCTCAGCGGCGACGGGAAGCTGCTCGCGAGCGCCGGCAGGGACAAGCGCCTCTGCGTCTGGGACGTGCAGACGAACGCGTGGGTCAAAACGTTCGCGGGCATCCTCGGCCACAAAGACGCCGTCTCCGGCGTCGCGTTCCGCAAGGGCACCGCGCAGCTCTACTCCGCGTCGCTCGACCGCACGCTCAAGGTGTACGACCTCTCGCCGGCCGTGATGGGCTACGTCGAGACGCTCTTCGGGCACCAGGACCATGTGCTCGCGCTCGACGCCCTGCGCGGCGAGACGTGCGTCAGCATCGGCGCAAGGGACAAGACGGTGCGCTATTGGAAGATCGTGGACGAGACGCAGCTCGTGTTCCGCGGTGGGGGCCGGAGTCGGGTGCGCGAGGTTCTGGAAGGCGGGTTGAAGGGGGACGAGGATGATGAGGACGAGGACGGCGAAGGGGTAGACAATGCGAAGAAGAGGGATAGGAAGGGGAAGGGTAAGCAGGAGAGGTTCGTAGAAGGAAGTCTTGAGTGCGTGGCGATGGTGGACGAGACGACATTTATCAGTGGGGGAGATAGCGGGTGAGTTTTTATTTTTCGTTAAATTTGGAGAGACAAAGCAAGTTAACATGGACATTTGACAATTTTGTAGTTCGATATGCCTCTGGACGACGACCAAGAAAAAACCCATTTTCACACAGGCGCTCGCGCACGGACTGAACGAGGCACTATCCGAGTCGGAGGGCGTCATTCGTACCCCGCGCTGGATTACCTCCCTAGCGTGTCTACGGTATTCTGACTTGTTCGCGTCTGGTTAGTACTTTTCCACAGTTCCTAAACTCCATATCATATCTTCTAAACGCTCGAATGTTTACTAATCCTCTCCCTCACTAGGTTCATGGGAAGGTGACGTGCGGATATGGAAGCTCGACGCCAAACTCAAATCCTTCAGCCTCATCGGCAAAGTCTCCGCACCCGGCGTCGTGAACTCCCTCCAGCTCCTCGCCCTCCCGCGCACTTTCCCCAGCACCATATCCTGGCCGCGTCCAGATGGGCAGCCCGGCGCGCCGATGAACGTCGACGCTGAGGACGACAGCGAGACGCACGCGGCGGAGACGGAGACGACGGTGGTGACGGCGCGGCCGGCGAGGACGGGCCCGGAGATTGCGGTGCATCCGTTCGTGCTCGTTGCGGGGCTGGGGCAGGAGCACCGGCTTGGGCGGTGGCTGAGTGTGAAGGAGGGCGGGGCGCGGAATGGGGCGATGGTGGCGCTGTTTACCCCCAAACCGCGGACGGCGGGTGCGAGTTAGTTGGAGATGGTTGTTTTGTTTGTTCCTTTTTCGTATTTTGCATTGCATGTCGCTGCTCAATTTTTTTTTCACGCTGTAGCCATCATCGACATCTATTCATACCTACCCCCTGCAAGGCCATCGCTTTTTTTTTTTACTCTCCCGCTCTCTTTCTCTTTTCTTTTGATTCGGCAATGACGGAAGGATCTTCCTACACTTTCATTTCAACACCCTTATCCATGAATAAAATTTGCAGAAGTCCGAACTTTCTCCCTTTCCTTTTCAACCGAAGATCGAAGATCCGTGGTGAAACGGGCCAGAGGATCTACAGTATGCCGGTATGCTCCTTTTTCGATCAATCGCACTGGCTTACGGGGAGGATTAAGGGAGGATGGAAGGGAGGCTGACACCCTCCTATGTATCGCGATCGAGGCTGGCCGTCTCCTGAGCACTCATATAACACAGTAGGCCCGCTATCATGGCCCTCATCCCTCGATTCGTCAGAGTCAAGCGCTTAAACGCCCATCCATACCCGTTCAGCATACCGTCCGTTTCGCCCGCCCAACATACCAACCTTCGGCCATACCCTAAATCCCTAAAAGCTCATACCGCAGCACACCCAGATATCACATTTTATATAAATCACAACTCATTTCATGCCCGCCCCGCGTGTAAACTCGCCACATTCGTCCATCGGCGCCGCCCTCGCGTGTTACTTTTCTGGGTGTCTGCACCTCCTCTCCATCAGTATCACCCTGAAGGCCCTCGAGCTGAGCGGGCGCGTCGTTGCTTCTATCCTGGCGTTGATGGCTGTCAGTGATAGAGGTGTGAGGAGAGCGGCCCAGCCTACTAAACAGGCACATTGCGATATCACACATCAAGAGGAGATTCGCGAGGGCGTCTATGAATTGCATGAGGTACGATCCAATCCAGAGTTCGGATAGTACAATTCGGCAGCTGACCCGTTTCTTTTCATGGCATGGCAGATGGTCCAGCTTAAATCACTGGCCAGAGAAGATCAACTTCACGAACATGTACTCGAAGATGACGACGAGGATGATGAAGGTGATATCGAGCTAGAGAAACTATCGCAACTGTGCGAACATACCACAGCCGCGGAACAGCATGTCTCTCGCTGGGGCGCCGTTCCTGGCTCTGAAGAACGCGGAAAGAACAAGATGGAGTATGCCGATAGCCCTGATAGCCCCCGCGTTGGCCAAATGGACACTTCGGACATCTTGGACGACATGTCTTCAGTGGAATACGGCACGGGTATGCTTTTTAGAGTGCGTATTCCTCTCGCCGAGTTGTTTATGTCTTCGCTCTTTATTTATGACCATATGATGCAGCACTTCGCCTCCAATGGCGCGCACGGTCGCACTGTTACACCAGCACGGAGCGGCGACTCCATCGCCAGTGACGACCCGTTCCTCCCTCCCGGCCTTGGGCCGCTCGCTCTCTCATTGTCGCCGCTCCCCACATTCAGCACTTGCATCCAACCCGGAAGCGCAGCGGCGTCGTCAAGTCGCTCTCGCATGAGCTTTGCGCTCCTCACCAACGACATGATGGACAGCGCTGGCAGAAAACGGGTGTGTGTTTTCTCTAATAATCTACGCGCTTTTTGGGATCATTGACGTACGTCCTGGCAGGGCGTCGATATCAAGGCCTCCCCAACTGAACTCCTGAAGGCCCGTCCACGCGCATCACGATTCGGGCGAGAGACCTGTGGGAAGGAGAGCGTAGATCCTCCAGTGAAAGCGAACACGATTGCGACCACGGACGTCAGCCTAATACCATTTTCACCAACGCAGACGGGCGCCAATATCACCTACGACGCAAAGGCCATTATAACCAAAACCAAAACTAATACCCCGACACAGATATACCGCGCACTATCTACCCTGAGCTTTTGGACGCCAGCGCCGAAGATCGCAGTAACGATTGCACCGCCCGTTAAGCGCCGCCGTGGGGGTAGACGGCGCGACAGGGAAAAGAGCAAGGAATACGAGAGCGAAAGCACGAGTCGTGATGTTTTTGGGGAGAGGATGCTGTTGCAACCGATGGGTGAGAAGTGAACGTCGGATACATCGATGCATTGGAGGGCTAGCGCTGCTTGTATAGCCTACGCCCATTTATATAACAGCCATATTGGAATCAAATGGTATTAAGGCTTGTTTTTCAAACATCTACTTACGCTAGCAAGGAAGTATTTGTGTCATGGCATCTATAGATGAAGGGTATACAACATCATCCCATGACGCCCAAGAGCATCATTTTCAATTTCGGAGTGGAAATACCAGATGGCGACGCTCGACGCTACAGAATAAGGTCAGATCATCATCAGGTCCCATGACCTGTAAATCCCAAGTCTAGTTGATCATGACCCACATCCGACAGAAGCCCAGCTGCTGCCCATCAGGCCCTTGGAGGATTTTAGGATCTTGAGCAACAGAACTGACATTGACTGTATATGTAGGTCGAGAAACTTAACATTTTTTCAAACTCGGAACTTGCAGTGCGCAGGATCGTCGGACAAAAAAGGCATATCAATTTCCCTTTTCCAACTCGTCGATCGTGGACTGAAATAGGTAGTCAAATATTCAAAGTTCAGAGAACCCCGCATTTGACTCAAGACATCATGAATTATTATCTTAATATTCTAGATATGTCCCAAGATTTCGAATGAGCTGCGTTCCTGCGGCATCGCCATTTAAATTAACAAACTACTCGAGGCAGGCCCCATTTTCATTGTTCTTCTATTATCTTATCTCAGAGCACAGGCTAAGAAGAGTGAACACTTTAAAAATATATGTCTGCATGCACCCAAGAGTCAATTGCTCCACCAGTGCCCAATCTACTCTGGGTATGCTACTAATAGCACATTGTGTAGTTACGACTTCTTCTAAACTTCAGAAGGCGTAACAAAATTTCGGGTATCTCATTCCTCTCTCAACAAAAAAAACTTCAGCTCACACCAAAGCGTCACCTGAGCGATTCGAACACTCGCGGTCAAAGACCAACCGCTGATCTACTACGAGGGTAGCAGGCGATCCCGTTAACCACTCCGGCAAAGTGACCTGGCGGGCCTTGGGGAAGATTACTTTGCCATTTGTGGGTTTGTACTTTCTTTGTACTAAGTATGTGGGTGAATCAATCATTGAATGTACCTGACGCTTGCCTGGAGGCTGAGAAAATCAATGGAAGAGCTGGAACGCACTTCGACCGACCGGGCATCTGAACTGACACCTGTTTGTGGGGTTAGACTTGGAGTTTGTTTGATATGGGATTATATGAAGTCTGTCTGACGCTCTCCCGGAGACATGCAAGGTAGGCAACAAACGGCGAGCTTCTTGGAATTATCATTCCTTCGTCTTGGCCATTTTTAGAACATTGAATAGGTGCCTGCTTTCATGATGTCTGCTGTGAGGCTATGCATGTACCGGTACCCATTACATACTATGTATATGAGGCCCTATACAATTACACCGACGTCATACATACATGCCACCACCACCCATTGACACAAGCTTCGAAATGCTGATAGATACGAGAATCTCGGGTACATATCACCATGCAGGCTCGGATTCCCAACGTGTAGGGAAATATATGGGGACGCCCCACTTCTCATGCACTGGTAACGCGGCAATGCATACATACAGACATACCCTCTGAGGTCCTCGCAGCTGGAATATTCTATCCGTATACGGTTGTCGGTGCGTGGCCTAAAGCTACTTGTGTAGTCACACACTTTACTTACTTATCGCGATGACGCTCGTGGTCCCTGGGTGGTCAGTACTTAGTAGGAAGGGCGATAAGCAGCCCAGCGGAGGCGAGGCGAGACTGCACCCGTCCACGCAACGGCCCCACGCGCGCGTCCCACCCACACCCCAGGCGATGGCGTATCTCTCCCCACAACGTCACCACGCCACGCCCTCAGATCTCCGTGCCCTTCCTCCTCTCGGAATCACTTCATACACGGGTGTTAATAGTTCTTCGGTAGACGGCTACTGCGCTGATGAATGATAGACGCACGTCGTACCAAGGCTATGCACTGCACGCATTCCAGGCAGACGACAGACCCTGGCGTGTGTGGGGGTGTGTGTGAGTGGGTGGCAATCGAGCATCTGAATGGATGGAAAACAGAAATAACCCGCGAGGATATAAATACCCGCCCACGCCCCGCGTCTCCAGCCAGCCTCCGCCTGGCGCCGTGGGATGTGCCCAGCATCCACCTGACACGCGCGCACGCTCCCGCGCGCGCAGGCCGTCGACGGGCGACGGGCGACGGTGGCCATTTTAAAACGGCGTGGCACTGCCTGTTCAGTGTTTGGGCGCGCGGCCCATTTAAACCCGAGGTGGAAAGATGCGCGGTAGGCGGGATTTTCGCTAGAGCGGCCGGGGTGAGCGTTCCCCGCGTGCGGTGGGCGTCACGGGCGATGCTTCACGTCTCGTGTGTGTGTTCGCCGGTCGGGGTGTCCCCTTGTTGATATCATATATGATACGATTTATCAATAAACGGGCGCCACGCTATCAGCGGACGTGCTCCTGCTTCCTAGTTAATTTCTCGGTGCGTTCCCGTCGCCCGCATTGAATTGCCTTCAAGTTCGAGGCAGTGGGGTGGGTGGGTGTGTGGCGGCGATGCGCATTGAGTCCTGATTTATCCGGCGGTATTTTTGGGGTTTGGAAGTTGAATGTCCTGTGATGCCTGTAATCAATTCATCTCTTCGAAGGGCTGGGGTAGGAGGAATGGGTATGACGGGTTGCGTAAATGTATAGAACGGTTACCCAACGACCAGCGATAGCCGGCGGATGCTAGGGAACAGCGCCTTGTTGATATCAAATTTGTGGAGTCGAATGCGCTCACGCGCTCACCATGAAAGATACTGGCGCGCGCTCCATAAGTGGATTGAGGTGTTGAGGCGGTTGTATAGATAAGCTCGCCGCTGGTCCCTGCTGGCGTGTATTCGAGCCGAAGTTTGGGGGCGTAGGAATAGCTGTCAGAACAGAATCGTCTAGATTGTTAAATGCATTTGGGTACCCAAGTTAATTGATTACATTGGCTTCGCAATCGTCATTGACATGCTACAAGGTTAAGCCACATCCGTAGTGAAAATCATACCCATGGCTATCTTTATCAGACGGGCAGCCCACCAAGCTTCAGAGAAGCGTCCGGAGAAAGCTGCCATATAGGCGCAGAAGATCTGGCATGCATGCAGCGCGCAGCAGGCGTGTCGTTGGTGCACGCAAACGCGATGGAACGCGTGCACGGACATAAGGCAAAGGAAGCAGGGCCACCATGTGCCTCGGGCTGCATCTGATCCCAGGGCACGGCTCGTCCAGCGGGGACATCTGGGACGCGCGAGGCGCGGGGTGACGCAGCGTGCGTGCGTGAGGGAGCGTGATGGCCCGTGACAAGGGGAGGGAAAACGGCCTTTGCGCGCGCTGCATGCTGGGAAGAAAGCCCCGTAAATCCAGCGAAAATCCCTCGCCGAACAGATAGATGCAGATGCACAGCCTTGCTGCGAGGCGAGCAGGCTTGTCAATCGGATCGGGAAGGGGGAGTCAGCAGGTCGGCCTGAGATAGGACATGCGTGCGCCAGCAAGATTGGGGCAGCAAGAAAAAAAAGGGGAAGTCGAGTACATGAGTATTCGCGGGAGAAGAGGAGGGGGTGGCGATGCCCGATGGTAAGCTGCAACCGCTGCCTACTTATTAAGATGACGAAGGAGGGGACAAGGGACGCGGAGGGCGTGGATAAGGCGGTGGCTGGCCGGGGAAAGGCATATTTAAGTTGGAGACGGTATTTCCAATGGGAACGGATACCGGGCGAGAATGCAGAGGCAGAACTAGCGCGACATGAGGCCAGAGTAACACAGGCCCTTCCTCTGGCGAAAAGCGCGCAGAGTTGCACCTGATCGAAGCGCACAAAGCGCTATGAGCCAGGGATACGAGATATTGCAGCAGATAAAACAGCGCAGCAGCAGGGTCTAGTGGGAGCGCGGGGGGCACGCTGGTGGTGGCGGTGGAAAAAGAATACGCGGAGAGAATATATGTTTTCTGCGTTGCAATGTCGGAGAATCTGGGGGTGTGCTTGGCTGTGTTTGCACGTGTTGTGTAGTGGTCTGTGCGAGTATAAGGAAGGCCGGGCCTGTCAACTTGGGACAACACCCTCCTCACATACAGCCACCTCGAACCATGATTAAAGCCACCTCCTCCCCCGTCGCGTTTCCTTCCTCCCAATAACCCAAGTTGCTCTCTTGCTGGCGAGCAATCTCGCCAGCGCCTAGCCGTTCTTCATCATGGTATGTCCTGTGCTGGCAATTTTTTTAGCAACCTGCTCACACCGTATCGCGTCTAGATCATCAGCAGCAAAAAATACGCATGGTATGTTTTTATCAGAATTTTCGGCGTCGTTTCTAATTTTTTATCGCATTTTCTCTAGCGAGACCTGCATCAAAGGTCATCGGTCTTCAGCATGCAAACACACAGATCGTCCTCTCTTTGAAATAAAAAAGAAAGGTCGCCCAGTAACCCAATGTGAACACTGTCGAGAGCTCCGTAAACAGAAACAAGTACATGTCAAATGCGTCTGCGAACAAAAAGATTTCCCTCAGCAAGGTGTGTTGCCCCACACTCTTCCGTTCGTGTTACGGCTGGCTCATAGATAAGATTGCATTTTACGCTTCTCCTTGCTCAGGCTCTAAGCCAGGTTTTGAGAGCGCCGCGTTCCCCACAGGCTTACCGCCAGCCTTGGGGGCGTCGGTCGCATTCCCAAACTCTGCAGATGGCGCCTCGTCGGATTCTGACCCTGGTGGTATGCAGCTCCTTGCCCGGCGACATCTTCCCCGTTAGTCTCCCATGCTGATCTAACACTAGGGGTGCTCAATGGCCACCGCTGCAAGTTGGGAGACCCTTGCACCTGCGTCACGCCGAGATCTAGGATTCGCGCGAGTGATGCCTCGGACTCTCATCCGAGCTCCTCACGCCGCGCTGGTGGTGGCCTTCCTATACCCACCCCAGCTGCGAATATCCTTGAGCGTATCTACGCTCTGCGCCCCATTGTACCCCGTCCGCCATCCCAGGGCCCCTATACTACTGGTGGGCCCCTCCATAACCCCTCTATGGGTGTCCCACACGGTCATGCCAGCCGCCACCATGATGGGTTCACGCCATACGGCTCTCGTCACGGTATGACCCCTCATAGCAGTGTACCTCCTCAGTCTTATGGGGCCCTACATGCCTCTCCCAATCCTACATTTCCTTATAACGAGCAGGTGTACGACCCCTTCCAAATGGAAACCTGGGCATCTGGTCCAGAAAACGGGGGATGGATATGGATAACCTCAGTCTTCCCTCCATGTGTGAGTGCGGCGACGACTGCTCGTGTCCTGGCTGCATCCACCACAGCCGCGCCACTGCCATACCCTCCTCCTCAGCCTATTCCTCATGCAGCAACCCCGCCCACTGCGGGACCTGCTTGGACTGCACCATCATGGCCCTCCCACACTCCGCCATCTTGCCGCCCAACACCGCCTTGTCAATATACGACTCCTCCGAGGCGATCGACAACTGGCTCCGCACGATGTCTGCATCCAACCCCACTGACCAATCCGCTTTCCAGCAAGATTTTCTTTCCTTCCAACAACAGCAGCAGCAGCAACAATCCCCCGCGTGGAACAACAACAACAGCCGCGGCTACCCTTTCCCCGACCCCACTGGCTTGGGTGGGTACAACCCGAACCAGCCCATGATGCCGTTCAACGCCACGACCGAGCCGGGCGCAGGAACGGGCGCGCCCCTCTCCCACGCGCGCCAGCGCTCGCAGCCCGCGGACGACATCCACATCGACCCGCGCCTCCTCCCGCCCTCCTCCCGCCCCAAAGGCGGCCGCAGCGGCGCCGGCGGCGGGGACACGGGCATGCTGCACCCGCCGCCTGCGCCCTTCCTCGCGCTCCCGGACGCGTCCGGCCCCGCCGCGCGCAGCCGCTCGCCCTCGACGTCCTCGCAGTCCAGCCACGGGTACCACGGGCACGCGTCCGACGGGGCGGTGGCGGCGGTGCGGCGTACCGCCCCTCCGGG